TGTTAATTCTTTCCTTTTCCCAAAGAAAAAGCCCAAGTCAAGACTGTGGAAGCGCATTCTCTATGCATGGAATTAATTAAAACCGGATGTACTGTTGCAGCCAAAAACAAGGGAGGAAGTCCTCAGACAAATCCTGTTCGAGCACCCCTATCTGTATAAAGCAACCGGATGGCACTACCTTTATGGCTGACGGTTCAGCAGGTCCCTTCGCCCGGGCATCGGTGGAGAAAGGGGTCATCCAAATGCATGACCTCTGGGATGTGTATAAGGGGGATTGGCTGTTGGTTCCATCCCTCCGCCAGAAGCTACCAAGAATACATAATATGGCAGAGAATTTCGCGGAGCTCAAAGAAGCGATCCCGTTTATGAAAAAAAAAAAAGAAAAAGAAAAAAAAAGAAAAAAAAAAAAAGGCGATCCCAGATTACTGAATCAACATTCTGCAAAATCGCGATGCCAGTCCTTCGGGACATCTGTTAAAATTGGAACGATACCGAGAAGATTAGCATGGCCCCTGCGCAAGGATGACACGCATAAATCGAGAAATGGTCCAAACTTAAAAAAAAAAAAAAAAAAAAAAAGCGACGCCAGAGCCGCAGGCACCTGGCTGAAACCTTCTGCCAGAGGTAACACCAGAGAAGTGTGGCAAGTCCTTGGCCCAGGTCTAAATCTTGCAGGGGCCAAGGACTGGCATCGCTATTTAGTAAGGGCGCAGGTTCAGGTTTGGAAGGTGATGAAGGATTTTTTTATTTTTTTATTTTTTTTTTGGTTCAGGTTTGGAAGGTGATTAAGGATAAAGGCTCCTACTCCACTCTTGCAAGGGAGGAGGAAAGGACAGAATCAGACCTGGAGGATTTAGAAGAAGCCAGGGTGTGGCAGGAGTCTCGACCTGGAGGCGACTCGAAAGCCGAACTATGGCATCTGGAGCGTTAGGGGTGGCATGTCAACAATCCCCGGTTAAAAATCAACCATTTGTGAAAGCCACAGAGAGGATACGCAGGATACCCAGAGAAGAACTGGGCAATTTGGAACTCTTTAAATTCTGGGCGGCTCTGAGCAATCTCCCTTCGCAGAAGCAAGCAAGCATCATGCGGACACAATCAATAAGGCTTTTGACCCCGACTGCAACCAGGCCACCTGGTTGAAGTCCAGGAACATGAACATTGAAGAAAAGCCTGCAGTCGATGCAACCGGAGCTGGGAGACGGATGTGCACCTCTGGCTGGAGCGCCCCAAGGCCAAACAGATTTGGGCCTGGTGCAGGTTTCATTCGTCCAGGATAACTGGAAACGTCTTCCCATGGACGGATAACTGGATATTGTATGGCCTGCACCCGCCGAACATCCCACTGGGAGCGGGTTGTGGCTATTCGACCCTCGCCTGCAGGTGAGTAGTAGTGCAGGTGTTTTGGTCAGCATGTAACAGAAGTTTTTCGAGGCGAGCAAACTACGTTCGAGCAGCAGAAGCGTCAGGCGCTGACCAATATCAGCACAACTATAAGAGCAGATTGGACGACCAAAGCGGATAAATTATGGTTTCGGAAGACTTGGGCAAATGGAAAACGGCTAGCAGACGTCTCACCAGAGAAGAAACTGGTTCTAGCCAAGTGGCTTTTATCAGGTAGGGATCAACAGGTATCCCTGAGGCCGACTTAGGCCCCAAGGGAACCGTGGTCCCGACTCCCGTGTGTTTACCAGCAGATGCAGTAGCTGCCAAACTGGTCGTAGGATTCTGTTCTGTTATTAAGGTCTGTTATTAAGGAAGTGTGGTAGGATTTCTTTCCCAAGGAAGTAGTAGTCTTCGTGTATTGTTTTAAGTTTGCATGGCCTTCTAGTAGAACTGTCAGTGGGTTTCTTACCCAAGGAAGTACTTGTCTTCAGGCATTGTTTCAAGTAATTGTCAAAATGATTTGGTTGGACTAGGTTGGCTTGGTTGTAGCATTGACAATTGGGTGGGAGGTAAGTTTCGCCTCGTAAGCTAAACCGGCTGATGCTGCCGGGATAACTTCGGGTAGAATTGTGGGGTCCCCGGCTCCAATTCAATGGTTTCTTTGGAATGACATTCGATGCCTTGAAAAAGAAAAAAGAGAAATGCANGGAAAAAAAAAAAAAAAAAAAAAAAGGACAACCGAAAGAAGTAAAAGACAAGCCGATGCTTGTGCAACAGCTAAGCGGCGTGGAAATTGCCCACCAGTGTGGCTGCAGCTGTATGGCACCGGGCTTCCTTCCAATACTCAGAAGAAGGAATGAATTTTCACCTAGAACATGGAACAATGCAATTCGAAAGTTCACGTGTGCACCAGGCAAGCTAAGATTCATTCTCATCTTGCGCAAAGGGGGGGGATTGGGGATGTCCTGGGGCACACTCGTACGACGACAGCCGAACTTTTACGATGCCGACGCAATGCCGAACACGTCAGAGCTTTCCAAGAAAAGCAAAACAAATGTGAACCCCTCGCCCCCCGCCTATCTCGGGTTGTGATGAAATATATGGTGTCCACCCTGCACGAGGGGAAGTCCTCAACATGGCCCGCCCCAGACGAGGGCACTGCTTTTTCAATTTTTCTGGCTCAAACCACCGGTACTTGGCCGAGTTATCCGCCGCAGAGGAAAAAAAAAAAAAAAAAAAAAGTACAAAGTTAGAAACGCTTCTAGTCGGATGAATTTGGGCGCTCCTGTAGTGGCCAGTACGTTTCCTAAAATCGTGGCGCATTAACGGGCACGACTCGAGGAAGTACTGCAGTGGTTTAAAAGTATATGGCACACAAACCAGGCAACATAAGGGAGCTAGCTTGGTGGTGAGTTTGGCCTGGGGTGGCAGATGAGTGAAAACAGTGTAGATATCAACAAGAAACAGATTGGCAAAAGAAAAAACACTAACTACATGGGTCCGGTACGTCCTCCTTTCCGTTCCATCAGCTGGCGGAGCAGGTCCAGCACTTAATTTTCGAAGTGGCCGGTGCCAGTACCACCATTAATTTTTCCAAAGCGCTGGTACCGGTCCCCCTTTCAGGCTCGGCAAAATAGAGTTCTTACTTCGTCAAAACAGGTCTTCTGGGTGAGCTGCTGGTTGAACTACCGTCTTCACCCGAATAGAACGCCCAGTGATTATTGCCGTATCTGGACTGAAAGTTGCACCAAATACAGCTATAACTACCGGGCGTTCTATTCAGGTGAAGACGGTAGCCTCTACCTTGACCTCTCTTGACCTTGCGCATGTGGTTAGGGCTGCCAATGGACCATGGAACGGGAACCAGGACCGGGGCTTAAAACAGTGATCCGGACTAGGCCTTGGTACTGGGGCTGGAGACTGGGACTCGGGACTCAAAGCACTGAGAACTGTGAATCATTTCAGTATATGACGTGTTTTCCAACATCCCACGAGTACTGAGGCACTTCTCTCCTGGTCTAGAATCGCACTGTGAGCCAAAGAAAATACAAGCCGGCACAGGCCGCCTCCTTGTACCTATCCCGCCGACCATTTTACTCCAGAGGCCTAGCCCTGAAACTTCCGCCGCCATGCAAGCCACAACTAAGAAAATAGCCGGGAAACGAACTCGTGGTTTGAAGTCGCTTTCACCCTTTATACCTACTACCGCCAGCTGCACTACCGTCTTTACCCCAATAGAACACCCGGTCATTATAGCTGATGTATCTGGACTCGAAAACTGTACCGGATATGGCTATAACGACCGGGCGTTCTATTCGGGTGAAGACGGTAGTCAGAGGGGTGAGGCCTTCTGCCCCCATTGTGCTGGCTGTTGGTCTGAACATCCTGTTGCGACATCGTCGCGGTGATAAGAAGGTTGCAGGCAGCAGATATAATCATGTCACCGGCTCTTTGCCTGAGCGCTTTGGCCCTCAAGGCCACAATTTTTTTTTTATCATTCTGTTATTTCCCTCGTTTTTGGTTCCTCAGTCTGCCACACGTGCTCGGATCACGACCACCTTATTAGGGCGTACTCGCACCACCACTATCTTAAAAAAGTGGCATCACAACGACTACTTCAGGCGTACTCGGACCACCACTATCTTAAATGTACCCGACCCCATTTACGGCCAGACATGTATGCATCTGGCCACAATTCCATCCAGAAACAAGTAAAACACGACCACCCACCACTATCCACTATCTTAAAATGGCATCACGACGACTACTTTAGGCGTACTTGCACCACCACTATCTTAAATGTACCTGACCGCATTTACGGCCAGACATGTATGCATGTGGTCGCAATTCCATCCAGAAAAGAGTAAAACAGTGCTACTGTGAGTATGCCCTTAGTCACACAAAAAAAAACGTTGATTCAGAAACCAATCCTCATCAGCCAAGCCAAGCCAAGCCAAGCCAAGCCAATCCAAGGATTCCGACACCCCCAAGGGTGATGGAAAAAGGGGGGTTGCTTCCTCCCAACTCAGGGTCAAGGGGATATTATGCCTTCCCAGAATCATGCAAGGCTGGCTTCTGGCTACACCCCACAACCACCTTAGTCACACAAATGGGTGAATCTAACACTGAACCGCATCACCCGAGCCGCGAGGCTTACAACATCGGCAAGGGTGATGGATGGGCAAAGAGAGTGGCTTCCTCCAACTCTGGAGTCGATGGAATATTACGCCTCCGTAGAAAAAAACATGCAAGTCTGGCGTGGTTGGAATCACTTCTGGCTACCCCATCAGCGGTATGGTTGGCTCTCCGAGGACTCGAGATTGATTCAACGTGCGTACGGCACGTGTAGATGGCATTTTGAATCTATCTATTGCCCATTTCAGTCGGGACTGTTCGCCTTTGGGACATTGGGAGCAGACTTTGGAACTGTTAGACTTTGGGACATTGGGAGAAGACTTTGGAACTGTTCTTTGGGACATTGGGACTTTGGAACTGTTAGACTTTGGGACTTTGGAACTGTTAGACTTGGAGAATCGGTTTGGGCGTAGTCAGAGAAGAAGAGCCAAGAAAACAAAACTGTGGCTCAAGCCTGAAGCCTGGTCCTTTCTTCTTCTGTGATTTGAAAACAAGAGCGAATCGATGCATATTTGAGAACAGACATGCGCAACACTCTGACCGGTTTGCCAATGTGGGACTGGGACCTACCGTGGTCTCAAATATTCGTCAGGGGGGATTGGGGGGTCTGAGTCTGACAAATTATTGCGGCCGACTGGCCGATAATGGTGGTGGGAAAGGCAAAGCCTTTTGCCTTTCAGTCGAAGCAGAACGAATTGGGCTTTCGGCAGACGTGGTGCTTGGGCAACCGGTTTCCCACAATGTGGGACAGGGACCTACCGCCGTCTTCACCCGAATAGAACACCCGGTCATTATAGCCGTATTTGGTGCAATTTTCAGTCCAGAAAATGCAGTTACAACGACCGAGCATTATTATTATAGCCATTTTCGGTGCAATTTTCAGACCAGATACAGCTTTAATGACCATGCGATCTGTTCGGGTGAAGACGGTAGCATCAGGTTGACCACCATGCCTGGTTAAACCACCAGTACCTACCGGTTGGGGCGGCCGTTAACGTGGAAGCCGAATCGGTGTGCCCCTCCGGTCCAAATTCATTCTAGGCCGAGGGGTACAGAAAATGCGGTAGGTACTGGGGGGTTATTGCCCACATAGAACCTGGACACTGCACTGTTATTCTTATATCCTTAGCAGGGAGGCAGCAGGGTAGAGAGATGCACGCGAGTGTGTGTCTCGCTCGGCAAGGAGGAATAGACTTCAGATTCTCAGCTACCACGAACTCTGTAGTTCTCCGCACCTTTCAGCCATCCATGTGTACACAAATGAAAGAACACTTCTCTCCTACACACCCTCAAGAAAGGGGCTGGAAGTTACCGACACACCCCTCTCTCGCTCAGCAGAAATATTGACGAAAACAGAACACCAAACACCCCTCTTTCGCCTCTCTTTCGCTCAGCAGATACTCGCCATAAACTGCTCTTCCTTCAGTCAACGATCACATTGACATGATGATTTTTCATGTACAGTACACAAGTCCGTCTCTGCCCTGAGAGACGCGCACTCGCATATCGTCTCTCAACGGGAAACAATACCCGGCATTGCTGTGACAAGCGGTGACAGGCCAGACCAGGAGACATCAGGTCACATCTCTTCCCTTGTAAAGACCACAAGGCCCATCGTCGCGAGAACCACAGGCAGTGTCTCTTCCAAAACCACAGAGGCTCCGTCTCGCTCCGTCTTACTCCGTCTTACCTCCGTCTTGCTCCGTCTCTGCTACCACCAAGCACAGCATGTATAGGATTCGAAGAGGACCGCCGAAGGCAAAACATCCACTAACTGCTTGCTGAATGGCGAGATGGTACGTACCCAAAAAAGAGCGCCTCAGTTGACTGCTAAGACAGAACCTCTTTGAAGACCACCACACGCACAACACGTACGCAACTGCTGACGGGCAGGCCACACCAGAAAATCGCAGGTGTTGTATGGTCACACCAAGAGCAGGATGTGAACCTTGAAGGAAATCTGAGGAACAGCAGACCGTGCCGACCTGAGTGCGCATGAGACCTCGGCGTCACGGGGACAAAGTACAAGCCTCAAAGTGCAGGAATGGGGCAAGCAGCAAACATGCAAAAGAACCCCCGTCATAGCATGTGCTGCAAACCCCACAGCTCAGCAGAGCTTTCTCCGGCCGATTGGCTGATCATGGAGTCATCGAAACAGCAACAAATTACACCCTTGCTCCCACAGAGCGCCACAAATTACACCCTTGTCCCCACATAGGGAAGATGGATCATGGGATCTATCTTCACGAAGGGATCTGAGTCTACGCAGCACCTGGCCACACAGTTACACCTGAAGTAGCTGTTCTCCAACGAACATCGGACCGATTTCCATCCACAAAGAGAATGCGGGACGGCCTTCCCCCACAAAGTTTTCAACGAAGTAGAATAAATTCATGGGAAAAAACTGCAGCTGAGAAAAACAACTCGTCTTATGAAGTAGTTCTGGCTGCTGACATCGCCGAGAACGAGTTTCAGTAGTAAATAAACTCCTGTATCATACCAACTGCTCCTCGCTGCACCACAGCAGGAAAACGTAGGTTCCTTTCATTTGCCTCCCCATTGTTCCACACCTTGTTAATATCTGACCGCTCGTGACAACGAAGGGGCTTATGCTTATTATCTTCGATCTTGCAAACCCAACGAGGACAGGAACGAGAAATGTTCCTCATCCTCTCGCACAAGGAGCCAGCTGCAAACAATGTAGCAGACTGCAGCGAACAACCCAAAAGGATGTGAATTAAGAAACTGCAAGACTCTCTCTCTCTCTCTCTCTCTCTCTCTCTCTCTCTCTCTCTCTCTCTCTCTCTCTCTCTCTCTTGCTCGCTCGCACACTCTCACACCTGCCATGAGGTATGACTTGTCGGCACAGCTTCATAGATTGATAACCATAATCACTCACAATGATGAGAGAGAGAGAGCTCTGATTACACATAACTCGAATCATACGACTAAAGGCATTATACATATATAAAAACCCTAACTAATTATAACCACCCTAACTACTTACAACCACCCTAACTACTTATAACAAGTTTTCAGTGAATTTGTTACACAGAGATACTTTCAATTTTGTTCCCCTCTTCTGCTGGATGATCCACACCATTTCTGGACTATAGCATTCATCTACCCCTCCTACCTACCACGAGGAGGTCTGCATCAGGCCTCTGTTTTCTCTCGATGAATCTGGATCTGGATCCCATCATCGTCAAGTGAATCTACAAGTAGCACTTCTTTATCATGCACATTACTACAGACAGTACTAGACCCACATCACTATTAACACCAACTAATTGGGCACTGTGCGCACTACTACAAGCCAGTACAGGCACTACCAGACACAGCACTATTACCTGCCCAATGAGTGAAACATCCACAAATTGCATCGAACAGAGAGGAAAATGCACAAACTGCATGAGGAGTGAAGTGAAGCATCCACCCGCAAACACACACACACATTGCGTACGCAAACACACATTGTGTTGGTCACCTCTCGTCTCGTAAACAGCCCCAGGCTGGTAGAAGTCGCAACCTCATGCCAAACATCCCTCCCTCCTCCTTGCATACCTCATCAAACAGCAGAAGCACATAACGTCCTGCCTGCCAAACACCCCTCCTCCTCCCGCCACACTTCATCATCTATGCGTAACCTGCAGCTTCTTGATCTTCGCAATCTGCATTCCGGGGCTCAAATTCTTTGGGCATGTTTTCGCGCAGTTCATGATAGTGTGGCAGCGATACAGTTTGTAGGTGTCGTCAAGGGCAGCCAACCTCTCCTTGGTGAACTCGTCACGGCTGTCAGCTATCCACCTGGGAATACACACAGGAGACAGGTCACAAAACCACCGACCGTGGCAAGGAAATCATTCTTAAGACGAAGACGGAACACAGGACACATACATACATGTAGCGAGACATCTCGTTCTCGGTAATTGACCCACTATATACAGGTTAACAAATCTCCATGCGATCCAATCAGAAATGGATTAAAAAAAAAAAAAAAGGTTGTCCAGAAGAAATACAAGCAAGCATAGAAAACACAAAAAAGGTCGACGAAAAACTATTGCGATCCAATCAGAAATGGATTAATAAAAAAAAAAAAAGGCAGGGAAAACCATTAAAACGCATGCCAATCGTTGTCTAAAACATCCTACCATTACAGGCAGCGACCCTTGTTCTTCTTTTCCATATTGCTTTCATGTTTTTCCATCTACTTCCCATGTTTTTTCGTGTTCATTCAACCTTTTTCCGGCTTTCCACTGCAATTCTCTCCTTGCTTCTGCCTTCTTAATGCTCTTGATGCCTTAGCCACCAGTGACTCATTTGCAAGGGCAGCCAATGATCCTATGTCCTCTTCTCCTCCGCTGTGCCCGCATTTGCCACCCTCTCTCTCTCTCTCTCTCTCTCTCTCTCTCTCTCTCTCTCTCTCTCTCTCTCTCTCTCTCTCTCTCTCTCTCTCTCTC